GACCTCATGGCTCCGAAACTCAATCCCTCTACCAATAAAACCTAACATACTGTACGCCTTCTTAACAACACTATCAACCTGGGTGGCAACTTTCAGTGATCTATGCACATGGACACCGAGATCTTTCTGCTCATCCACACTACCAAGAATCTTACCATTAGCCCAGTACTCTGTATTCCTGTTACTCCTTCCAAAGTGAATCACCTCACACTTTTCCGCATTAAACTCCATTTGCCACCTCTCAGCCCAGCTCTGCAGCTTATCTATGTCCCTCTGTAACCTGCAACATCCTTCCGCACTATCCACAACTCCACCAACTTTGGTGTCATCCGCAAATTTACTAACCCATCCTTCTACGCCCTCATCCAGGTCATTTATAAAAATGACAAACAGCAGTGGCCCCAAAACAGATCCTTGAGGTACACCACTAGTAACTGAACTCCAGGATGAACATTTCCCATCAACCACCACCCTCTGTCTTCTTACAGCTAGCCAATTTCTGATCCAAACCGCTAAATCACCCTCAATCCCATGCCTCCGTATTTTCTGCAATAGTCTACCATGGGGAACCTTATCAAACGCTTTACTGAAATCCATATACACCACATCAACCACTTTACCCTCATCTCAAAGAACTCAATAAGGTTTGTGAGGCACGACCTACCCTTCACAAAACCGTGTTGACTATCCCTAATCAAATTATTCCTTTCCAGATGATTATAAATCCTATCTCTTATAATCCTTTCCAACACTTTACCCACAACCGAAGTAAGGCTCACTGGTCTATAATTACCAGGGTTGTCTCTACTCCCCTTCTTGAACAAGGGGACAACATTTGCTAGTCTCCAGTCTTCTGGCACTATTCCTGGAGACAATGACGACATAAAGATCAAAGCCAAAGGCTCTGCAATCTCCTCTCTAGCTTCCCAGAGAATCCTAGGATAAATCCCATCCGGCCCAGGGGACTTATCTATTTTCACACCTTCCAGAATTGCTAACACCTCCTCCTTATGAACCTCAATCCCGTCTAGTCTAATAGACTGTACCTCAGTATTCTCCTCGACTACATTGTCTCTCCGTTACATCAGCTCTCCTTTTTCTGCTGGCCTAAGGAGTCCAACCTACCATCATTCTGGCCAGTCCAGTTTCTGGCCAGTCTACTTCAAACCTAGCAATCTGTTTCAACCCTGGGAGTGTTTGATGGGGACAGTGTAGAGGGAGCTTCACTCTATATCTAACGCATGCCTTGTAATGTTTAGTTTTGACCTGGATGCATGCAGTGAAAAGTACTGTTTCTGCTTTCAGGCTGTCCCAGCTCTCCCCTCAATGGGTTTTTACTATTTTTAATAAAAATCCCACCCTCTCCCTGAACCGGAGCTGGGTACCTGCTGATAATCTTATTCTGGAACAGCACAGGTGAAAGATCAATCCCATCCAATTGCCGGTCAGTGGGTGGTTGAAGCCCAGCCAGTGTCAAGCTGGTTGTGAATAGGTCCATGACAGTACCCAGCTGATAACTGATCTGTAACCATAAAGCAAACCAAATTTTAGTTCCAAATCACATAAGACAAAATTTGGCAGCTGAAGCACATTTAATAGCACAGAAGTCTGCAGGTGGGGATCCCACTGCCTTCCCTCCTCCACTCTGATTAGGACCCATGCCATAGACAGCCTTTGCTCCTGCCACTAATATAAACCTTTAAGTGAACGATTGATGTCTGATTAAGGACCTCATCCCAAAGCGGCTGGAACTCACCCAGTGGTGGGTACCTGTAAGGTAAACATAATGGGATAGAGGGTTCCCTCTTTCAATTCCACCTACTGCTTGAGGAAATGTCCTGGCATCAGGAAGCAAGGGCAGATGGCCACACCCTCTGTAGCTGCCAAATCCCTCCTCCCTGAGTCCCACTTCAGAAATTATGCCTGGTTCTATCAACTGGGGGCCTGAGGCTGCTGTAGCATCAGCACTAGCCACTGGTGCTCCTGAACAACAGAGAGCTATCTCAGTGGCTCAGTGGGCTGGACATCTGAGCCGGCTTCCTTGATTCTGAGCAAGGCCACCAATGCAGAGTTAAATAAGTATTCAGCAGGACTTCATGGAAAAAGCTGATGCAAGGCTCTCATCAGCTTTTAAAAGTGCCTCTAAAAAAATACCTATCCCGAATATTGTCTATGAATTGTATTTACATAACAGCCTAATGGCCTACTCTTGCACCTATTTTCTATAATGTCTTTCATGACGGCAGGATGTCCAAAACCCTCACTAGAGTGGCAAGTGGAAATCAAGCCCTGCAATTCCTGGACTCATCAAGAAAGTTAAAGTCGTTTTAAAAAAAAAACACACAGAATTCCCCAACTTACTCACCTTTCAGACCCAGGTTTACAGAAAGGAGGGGCCTGGTTTCAGTTCTTATTGATAAGTACTATTCATTATAAACAAATAGATTCTAACTACTGTTGAGGTTGGTTGGCTCGCCGAGCTGTTTTTTGTTCCGCAGACGTTTCGTTACCGTGCTGGGTAACATCCTCAATGCAGCCTCTGATGAAGCGTCAGTGTGTTTTCCCGCCTGGTTTTTAAACTCTGGGGTCCGTTGCGATGGGTTGCCTCACTTCCGGGTTTCCTCCGTAGTGGAATGTATATGGGGTCGAGTTCAATGTGTTTATTAATAGCCTACTTCGTGGAGTGCCATGCTTCCAGGAATTCTCGTGCTTGTCTCTGCCTAGCCTGTCCCAGGATCTTGGTGTTGTCCCAGTCGAAGTCGTGGGAACTAATCTCAATCCACATGGACAAGCTGAACCACGTAACGAAACGTCTGCGGAACAACAAAACAGTTCGGCGAGCCAACAAACCTCAACACCCACAAGCCAAGCTACAGATCTACTCCAAAACCTTAGAGATTCTAACTACAGATAAACAATTATGAACTGCTGATATATAACACTACTAGTTAAAACTCTAACCCATTTATGAAACTCACCCTCTACACACACACAAGTACAAATAAGCATTAAAAAATGGGTGTTATGGGCAGAGGGAAAGACAGGGAAGGTAGATCAATGATCCCTGTCCCACGGGGTTTGCTAAACTGATCCTTTTGCTGACTAAGAAAACTGCTTCTCCATCTTCCTTCTCCAGGTTCTCTCCCTTGTTTGCAGGAGACACAGAGTGACTGGTTCACACTTAGAAAAGCCTCTGATTTATTCATTAAGACTCTCAGTTTACAGCAACTGGTGAGGGGAAATAAAGTGGCTCTCCTCAGATCTGAGATGCTTTTTAATGCAGAACTAAAACAGCTCCTTCCCTTACAAAGGTCTGAGGACTTCTGACGCAAACATTCACAATCCCAAGCTGTTTAGTTCCCTAGAGGCCAGTCACATAATTATTGGCAAGGAGGAGGCCTTTGTCAACAATAACTAGTCACTAGTTCACAGATCACTCAACAACTTGTTGCTGGCTAAATCTTAACTTGTACACAGTTCCCTAGCTCCAGCTTGTCTACAGATAGAGATTTCCCCACTGTTTGAACCAATACCTGTGTAAACAGCACTTATAGTGAGTATCACATAACTTTACCAAGTGCAGCAACCCTTCAACAATCCTTGGCTTTTATATCAGTCAATTTCTCATTAAAGTCTACAGTCAAAAACACAGGTAAATAAAAAGATACCATCTTCACAAGCCGAAGAAGTATCAAGAGTAATGCATGAAAGCATGTGCAGTCATGGTTTAAGAGGTTGATAAATTTTTGGTCATCAGTAACATAAAGGATTATGAGGACAGTGTGTTAAAAGGTATTAAAAAGTGTTCAATCAGCCATGATCGTACGAAACATAACAGGCTTAATGGGTTGAATGGCCTATTCCTGTGGTTCCTGTACATGTTTGTGTGCACTTTTGTATCTATATGTAACACACAGTGGAGTTGGTTGCTGTTTCTGTGTGTACTGGTACAAAAGAAAATGAGTGAAGTGTATGAGGACTGGTGGGTGGCTGGTGATACTACTCAGACTGATTCCCTGTGTTGTAATTTCTATCATTCCATAATCTGGAAAAAGGAAGGAGCAGGTCAATGTTTCCTGGGAGGATTAAACGTCAGTCAGTGCTCTAGTCTGGAACACAAAAAGCCTGTGGTACAGCTCTACACAAGTCACCCAGTTTGTCAGAGGCTGAGGATGGTGACATTTGCTGGGCAGATACCAATACTCAGCTCATACTGGTTCCAACTCACCACTCACACCTTTGCTGATTTTCATCTGCAACCAGCTGCTGTTGCAGCTTTTCCCTGTCATCAGTTTGGATGAGATTAGACTGGACTCTTCTCTGCTGCCTCCTTGACACAGTGGCACATTAAAGCTCAATTATATGAGGCTGTGGAACAAGTCTTGAACAGATATTGATATCAGCTGCAGCCGTTGTTCCTCAGCAGATCAATATATACTGGTAATTCATTACACTCCCTCCCTCACTGGAATTAAAATGCATCACGTTAATTCATAACTGCTCCCCATACCATAGCCCTTCTTTCAGTCCCCAGAGCTAGCCCCCATTTCCCTCAACCATTCCTCCTCATGCTCTAGACCTGAATATCTCAGAATTTTACAGCACAGAAGAAAGCCACTCAGCCCAACAGGTTCCCCCATTGTTTATTCTCATCGAGTATCTATGCACCCCATTTCATCTTACCCCGTCACATATTTCTCTATTTCTTTCTCTTATGTTTATTCAATTTCCTCAATCTCTGCTATCTGCCTCAACTACTCCCTGCAGGAGCATGTTTCACATTCTCATTACTTTACACTTACAGCAATTTACCCTAAAATCAATCAACTTTCATAATATAAAGACCTCTATCAGAACATTCCTTGGTACAATCACAAGTTAGAGTGACCCCAGGTTAGAGCAACTACAGTAAATTTGCTCCCACCTGATGAAGAGGTGCTCACCTGTCCAGCAGGTATGCGTCCTGGCCACCAGGCAATTGCAGGCTCCCGCATTCCTCCCTCAAATGTTGTCTCCTTTCCACATAAGAATGGGCCATTACTCCCACCTACAGCAAAACAAACCTCAACATAAATTGATTGCAGGACAATCACTCTAGCTGCTGACACATTGCTAATAATAATTGTATTCATGTAACATCCTTGGGTGCTTCATGGAAGTATGACAGAGCACATTTTGATGTTAAGGCACATTAAACAGTATCAAGCAGATATTTAAGAGCTTGAACAAAAAAGTCAGATTAAGGAGTGTGTCAAAGGAGGACAGACAGGTAGAGAGATGGAGAGGTGTAGGAAGGCAATTTCACAGCTTCAAGCCCAGGCAGCTAAGCACACAGGCATTAATGTTGGAGCAATTAAAATCAGAAATGCTCAAGAGGCTGGAATTCAATAAGCACAGATATATTGGAAAGTTGTGGGATTGAAGAAGATTACAGAAACAAGGAGAGGAAGCCCATGGAGGCACTTGAAAACAAGGATGGGAATTTTTAAATTGAGGTGATGCTTGACTGGGAGCCAGTAAAGGTCAGATAGTGAAGGAATGATGGGTGAATGGGATTTAGCATGAATGAGTCAGCTCATATGACCTCAAGTTTAGGAAGGCTGCTATGTGAGAAGGCAGACAGAAGTGTTTTGGAATAATTAAATTTGGAGGTAACAAAGGCATGAATGAGGATTTCATCAGTGGATGAGCTGAGGGGGTGTGGAAGTAGTCAATGTTCTGTATTTATAGATTTACAAAAGGGAAATCATGCTTGACAAATCTATTGGAATTATTTGAGGATGCAACCAGTAGAGTTGATCAGGGCAGCTAGTGGATGTGGTTTATTTTGACTTTCAGAAGGCTTTCATCCAAGTTCCACATAATAGATTAATGTGTAAAATTAAAACACAAGATTGAGGGTAGTGTATTGAGCTAGATAGAAAATTGGTTAGCAGACAGGAAAAAAAAGAGTAGGAATAAATAAAAACCAAAAGAACTGCAGATGCTGTAAATCAGGAACAAAAACAAAGTTGCTGGAAAAGCTCAGCAGGTCTGGCAGCATCTGTGAAGGAAAAAATAGAGTTAACATTTCGGGTCTGGCAACCCTTCCTCAGAACTGATGGTGGCTGGGAAAACGTCAGTTTATATGCAGAAAAAAGGGAGGGGGATAGGGTAGGGAGTAAACAATAGGATAGAATCTAAAGAGAGAGAGAAGAGCAGTTGGATAGACAAATAGTTGATAACGATCAAGCTGGAAGGGTGACTGGTTGCTAATGGGGACTATTAGTGACTATTAGTGTTGAGTAGGAATAAATTGTATTTTTCTGAATGGCAAGCAGTGACTACTAGGATTCTGCAGGGATTGGTACTAAGACCCCAGCTATTCACAATATATGTTAATGATTTAGAAGAGTGAATTAAATGTAATATCTTAAAAATTGCAGATGACACAAAGCTGGGTGGAAGGGTGAGCTGTGAGGAGGATGTAGAGATGCTTCGGTGTGATTTGGATAGGATCAATGAGTGCACAAACATACGACAGATGCAGTATAACGTGGGTAAAGGTGAGGTTACAGTTCTTGGTTGGTTCGCCGAGCTGACTGGTTTTCGTGCAAATGTTTTGTCTCTCTTCTAGGTGACATTGTCAGTGCTGTCTAGCCTCCGTTGAAGCACTGTTGTTCTATCCGCTCTGAATTTGTATGGTCCGGTCTGTTATGGTGGATAGTCTTGTTTCTGGTTTTGCAGCGTTGTGGTATGTAGATGGGGTCTATTTCAACATGTTTGTTTACCGCACCAGTGGCTAAAAACCAAGACTCCAGGAATTCTTGTACTTGTCTTTGCCTTGCTTTGGCCTAGTACTGTAACTTTGTCCCAGTTAAACTGATGTCCTTATATGTTGGAGTGTATTGAAATGAGGACGAGTTGGTCGTGCCGTTTTGCTGTGAGTTGGTGTTCATGTATCCTGGTGGCGAGTTTCCTGCCTGTCTGTCCTATGTAGTGTTTCTCGCAGTTGCTGCATGGTATTTTGTATATCACATTTGTCCTGCTCATTGTGGTTATAGGGTCTTTTGTCTTTGAGAGTAACTAGCGAAGTGTGGCTGTTGGTTTGTGAGCTATTCTTATTCCAAGAGGTCATAGGAGTCTTGTAGACAGTTCTGATGTGTTTCTAACATAGGGTAGGGTGGCCAGTGTGTTGGGGCGTACAGCGTCTTCTTGGTGTTGTTTATTTGCCAGGCATCGACAGACAAAGCTGTTGGGATACCTATTGTTTGCAAAGACCGTACAGGTGTTCATCTTTGTCTTTGCGCAACTCCAGGGTGTTGCAGTGTGTTATTGCTCGTTTAAACAGAGTCTTGACACATCTCTGTTTATGGACGCTGGAGTGGTTACTCACAGCAAATCTGAAATTCTGAAGAAGGGTCCCGACCCAAAACGTCAACTTTCCTGCTCCTCTGATGCTGCCTGGCCCGCTGTGCTCCTCCAGCTCCACACTGTGTTATCTCTGACTCCAGCATCGGCAGTTCTTGCTATCTTAAAGAAGAAAGTGATAGTTCCTATGCACAGAGAATGCTTTACAATATTGGCTGAGATGGGGACCTGAAAGGAAAGGTCAGCAATCAGCAATTCAGTGCCAATAGGGTTTAGGGAACAGGAGATGGACCTCATAGTCAAGATGAGCTTATAGGAGATCATGAGAAGGGAGAGAAACAAGAAGATGATGAGGGTTCATGGTTAGAATAAAGAAGAACTTCAGAGAAAATTTAGCCCAGTGGTCTGTTGGAAAGGAGGGAAGTGACATGGGCACCTGATTTGATGTTCACAATCTTAGTAACAAAGAAATCTGTGTATTCTTTGCACTTATTGTTAAGAGCTCAGAGTGAAGGAGTCAGGATTAATGAGGCAGTTTGAAGCTGTGGATTCCCTTTGCATTCCAGAATGATCCTGGAATTGTGAGCAGCTTTGGAAGATGACAATAGGACCTGATAGAGTTTTATGTGGTCCAGCCAGATCTGGGAGTTGATGGTTTTACTTATTTGCTCACGGGGTGTGGACATCACTGGTGAGATCAACATTTATTGCACATCCCTAATTCAGCTCGAGAAGGTGGTGGTGAGATGCCTTTTCAAACCATTGTAGTCAGTGGGGTGCAGGGACACTGACAGTACTGTTAGGAAAGGAGTAACAGGATTTGGACCCAGTGACAGTTGAGGAACAGCAATATATTTCCAAGTTGGGATGGTGAGAATTTGCAAACAGTAAGATTTTATGTCTGCAGTCCTTCTTCTAGGTTACGGCTGAAGGTGCTACTGAAGGGCCTTTGGCAAATTGTTGCAGTCACCTGTCATACCCATTTGAACACCCAAACACATTCCACCTACCTCTCTCCTACTTAAAAATCCTTATTCTCTACCACCCTGCCAAATTTGAAAATGTGGAAGAATGGGTCAGGCCAAAGTGTGATTTGGTTATAATACCCACAAAGTGGTTGTGCAATGCAAAATACACATCTAGGTGGAAAGGAACAGTTGGAGTACCTGCTTTTTCTCAACCAGTGATGAGTTGTTTGAGGAGCTCTTTGGTGAGTGCCAAGTGATGCACCGAAGGAAACTGCAAGGTTAACTAACAGGGATGGTGGAAGGTGGGTAGGAGTTTTTGTTTTAATTCATTCATAGAACATAAGAACCAGGAGCAGGAGGAGGCCATCTGGCCCTTCAAGCCTGCTCTGCCACTCAATAAGATCATGGCTGATCTTTTCATGGCCTCAGTTCCACTTACCCACCCTCTCGCCATAACTCTTAATTCCCTTACTATTCAAAAAATTACCTATCATAGCTTTAAAAACATACAATGAGGAAGCATCAAATGCTTCACTGGACAGGGAATTTCACCAATTCACAACCTTTTGGATGAAGAAGTTCCTCCTCAATTCAGTTCTAAATCTGCACCACCTAATTTTGAGGCAATGCCCTCATGTTCTAGTTTCAGCCGCCAGTGGAAACAACCTCCCTGCTTCTATCTTCTCTATTCCCTTCATAATGTTATATGTTTCTATAGGATCCCCCTCATTCTTCTAAGCTCCAATGAATATAATCCCACTCTATTCAGCCTCTCCTCATAAACCAACGCTCTCTGGAATCAACCTAGTGAACCTCCTCTGCACCCCCTCCAGTGCCAGTACATTCTTTCTCAAGTAAGGAAACCAAAACTGTACACAGTACTCCAGGTTTGGCCTCACCAGCACCCTATACAGCTGCAACATAACTACCCTGCTTTTAAACTCAATCCCTCTAGCAATGAAGGAAAAAATTCCATTTGCCTTCTTAATTACCTGTGGTACCTGCAAACCAACCTTCTGCGATTCATGCACAAGGACACCCAGGTCCCTCTGCAGAGCAGCATGCTGCAATTTTTTACATTCAAATAATATTCCCTTTTACTATTATTTCGATCAAAATGGATGATTTCACATTTATCAACATTGGACTCCAACTTCCAGACCTTCGCTCACTCACTTAATCTATCTATATCCCTCTGCAAACATTCAGAGTCCCCTGCACACTTTGCTCTACCATTCATCTCAGTATCATCCGCAAACTTTGACACACTACACATGGTCCCCATCTCCAAATCATTTGTGTAATTTATAAACAATTGTGGTCCCAGTACTGATCCCTGAGGCACACCACTAGTCAGTGTTCACCAAGCAGAAAAGCACTCGTTTATCCTCACTCTTTGCTTCCTGTTAGTTAACTAATCCTTGATCTATGCTAATACATTGTCTGTAACACCATACACTTCTTTCTTATGTAGCAGCCTTTTGTGCGGCTCCTTGTCGAATGCCTTTTGGAAATCCAGATATACCACATGTCTTGGGTCCCTGTTGTCCACCATGCTCATAACGTCTTCATAGAATTCATGGGATGTGGGCATCGTTGGCTGGGCCAGCATTTGTTGTCCATCTCTAGTTGCCCTTGAAAAGGCGGTAGTGAGCTTCTGAAGGTTTGGTATAGGGAATTGGGAAGGCAAAGTACTTGTGAGGGAAGACGTGAAAGGATGCTAAAAGAGGTAGGGATAGGGAGTGGTGAGGCTGTGACAGGATTTGAAAAGAAGGTTAAGATTTTAAAATTGAGGCAGAGCTCTTAAGAGACACAGAATTTCCTTACCAAACTCACTTAAACTATCTATGGCCCTCTGCAAACATTCAGAGTCCTCTGAACACTTTGCTCTACCACTCATTTTAGTGTCAGCTGCAGAAAATACTATCAGAAGGGGGCATAATTTTAAGGTGATTGGAGGAAGGTATACGGTAGATGTCAGAGGTTGGTTCTTTACACAGAGAGTGGTGGGTGCGTGGAATGTGCTGCCAGCGATGGTAGTAGAGTCAGATACATTAGGGACATTTAAGCGACTCTTGGATAGGCACATGAATGATAGTAAAATGTAGGGAATGCAGGTTAGTTCGATCTTAGAGTAGGATAATAGGTCAGCACAACATTGTGGACTGAAGGGCCTGTACTGTGCTGTACTGTTCTATGTCCTATGTTCTAAACTCCCCTGTGCTGCACACTGGCAGCAGAAGGCTTGTACAGGAGATTACTGGGGGGCTGGGAATAATGAAGTTTGAGAGTTGAGAGGTTGTGGAAGGTGGCAGATTACAATTTGGTTTTGAGGATCAGCAGTGCTGAAGATGTGTTTTCAGAAAAGGAGAAGATTACCTCTCATCTCATATGCATTCAGATATAGCAGGTAACCTAGGCAGCCCATACATCAGGTTTGAGACCAAAATTATTCTGTTTAAATTAAACAATGTGACTCACCAGACTAGGAATGTTGTTGAGTGTTCTTTGTTCTTGAATTATTATGCAATTTACGTTGTAATGAATTGGGAAATCTTGTAAAGATTTGGTAAATTACCTTCAATATTTATAAAAATGTGTGAGGTCGCACATTTTGTAAGGAGACATAAAGAAGCTACATGCTCCTTGGAAAATCCAAATATGAACAGAGTAGAAGAACATGGAGATCTGGGTCTAAAAATATACAATCAATAAAAGGAGTGATGTAGATTATTAGGGCTTTAATCAAAGCAAACAAAACCCTGGGCTTAATTTCTTTGATGAATAAGATTGAAAGGTAGAGAAGTTATGTGAAAAATTTTCAGTATACTATATTTTTTATACTTTGGATACTTGTGGTTTCCAAATCATAAAATGAATATACAGACAGTGGAAATGCTTCACTAAAATTACACATAAATTCTCAGTTCCTATGTATCAGGAAAGGCTAAACAGGTTTGGGGATTTTTGAACAGGGGTGACATGATTGAAATCTTTAAAGGTGTGACGAAGTTTTTTAGGATTGATATAGAGAATGTTTTCATTTGTGAGAAATACCAAAACCAGGGTGATGAAATATGATAATCACCAAGGAATACAACAGGAAATTTAGGAGAAATCTCTCTACCCAGAGAGTGATGAGAACTCACAAACACAAACAGAAATAGGATCAATATATTTAAAGACAAGTTAGATAAATACATGATGCAGAAAGTAATTGAGAAGTAACAATGTTACATTTCTTCACCCAAAGAGTAGTAAGCCTGTGGAATTCATTACCATAGAAAGTAGTTGATTGCCACAACACTGAATGTATTCAAGAGGCGACTAGATATAGCACTTGGGGCGAATGGGATCAAAGTTTATGTGGAGAAAGAAGGACTAGGCTACTGAGTTGGACAATCAGCGATGATTGTGAAGAATGGCGGAGCAGGCTCGGAGGGCTGAATGGCCGCCTCTTGCTCCTATCTTCAATGTAATTCTACTGGAGACATTGAAGAAAGACATGTCAAAGAAACAGATATTTAAGCCATTGTAATTTGAACATCCCCACCCCTTCCTGATCCTCCTCAGATGTGGGGCAGTAGGCAACAACTACTTGTAAGGTAAGACTATTTCTGGGAGCAAATGATGTGTCTGAATGTATGATGCCAGTAACCAAAGGTCACTATATAAGATAATTGACACAAATATCTGAGGAGTGATGAGGAGATCTGAAATACATGAATAGCAATAACTTTAAAAGTGAATTTGAAATATACTTGAAGGGAAAAATATTTGCAGGGCCATCAGGAAAGAGCACATGGAGTTGGATCAATTAAAGAGCTCTAAGAGTCAGCACAGGCATGATAGGCTGAATACCTTTCTTCTATGCTGTATCTTTGTATGATTCTAAACTATTCGTAAGAAACATGAATTGTAGTAACCATGAAGGAAGCGACAGACACCTCCTTCAGTGTGTTACTTATGTTTCCTACCTGTCACTAAATGAACCCACCTTGATTGGGGGCTGAGACGAGTGCAGCTCCATTATCTGATGTGAAAAACACAAATGTGCTGTTGGCGATGTTTTGGGTGTGCAGTTCCTGTAGGATTTTCCCAATGCTGACATCTATTTCACGGACTGCATCCCCATATCTGGAAACAGTCCAAAAACAACATTACAATGCAAAAAAACACAGCAAACAGCACCAATTTCACAGCTCACAATGACAATTGATTAAACTGAAGTATTGACGTTTTTCTTGCTCAGAGAGAGCCCAGTAAATTGTGAAACTGTCCATATGCTCTGAGAAATCCATGTTTCTCTGCAAACTTCACACAGTCTCTCTCCCTGGAGATCACTGTGTTTACCCAACTCTAGGGAGCTTATGGGTGATTGTCTCAGCTAAGGCACAAGGATTCCAAAGGACGCAGTGGAGGGAGTACTGCTGGCTTTTAACCAGCTACAACCATTAATCTGGCCAGGGCAGAGATGGGATGAAGATTAAATATTTGTCTAGCATGCACCAAACAAACTATATTAGTCTGCAGGAATATCTGAGTCATGCAGAAAGTATCTTAACCCATAGTGTCAAATCTCATCCTCAGTTTAGTGAATCACAGAGATCAGATCAATAAGCCTGTTACAGAAAGCTCATTGTTACAAACAACCCTGGGAACCTCACACGTACAGTCTTAACCACAATGAGTTTAGCAATGTCACTGTTTAGAACAGAATGCACTGACCGGTACTTACAAGCCTCTCTGACTTGTTCCAAGGAAAGATCTTGATGCATAGACCGGTGCATGAGTTGCATCAACAGCCCAATAAAGGAGGAAGTTCTGCTTCTTGGCTGTCTGTCGCCTGATAAATGCAATTGCTTCCTGCACTTCCAAGAGACACATCATTAGAAAACTGACTGGATCATAATACACCAGACAAATCTGCAGCAGAGGGACTGACCCACACACTGGCCTGAAACTCCAGTCTGCAGCAGAGGGACCGAGCCTCACACAGGTCTGAGAATCCTGATATTTTCAGTATGACACTCACTATATCACACGTAATTTAATTTCTCGTGTTTGTGAAGTGTTTGGCTGGTGTGAGCGGGTTGTCCTTCAGTTATATTATGAATGAAGACACTATCCACATTCTGGGAGTTACCACTGGTCAGAAACTGAATTGGAATATACATATAAATACAGTGGCTATAAGAGCAGGTCAGAAGCTAGGAATACCGTAGGGAGTAACTCGCCTCCTGACTCCCCAAAGCCTGTCCACAATCTATAAGGCACACGTGAGGAGTGTGACGGAATTCTCCCCAGTTGAGTGCATGGGTGCAGCTCCAACTACATTCAAGAAGCTTGACACATCCAGGATGAAGCAGCCCGCTTGATTGACATAATTTCTACAAACATCACTCCGCCACCACTGACGCTCAGTAGCAGCAAGGTGTAGTATCCACAAGATGCACTGCAGAAGTTTACCCAGGCTTATTAAGCAGCACTTTCCAAACCTGCGACCACTTCAATCTAGAAGAACAAGGACAGCAGATACATTTCTTTTTTATTCATTCACGGGATGAGGGCATCGCTGACTAGGCAGCATTTATTGCCGTGGGAGCTCCACCACCTGCAAGTATTTGCGTCAGTGGTGGCGGAGTGGTGTTTGTAGAAATGATGTCAATCAAGCAGGCTGCTTCATTAAAATGCCACTCCCTTTTCCGTTGTCAGCCAAAAATGATTTTATTTTGTATTCACTCATGGGATGTGGGCATCGCCGGCTGGCCAGCATTTATTGCCCATCCCTAGTTGCCCTTGAGAAAGAGGTGTTTGAGCTGCCTTCTTGGATCACTACAGTCTATAAGCTGCAGGTAGAAAGACAATGCCCTTAGGGGGAGGCAATTCCAGGATTTTTACCCAGCAACACTGAAGGAAGGTGATATATTCCCAAGTCAGAATGGAGAGTGACTTTGAGGGGTACTTGCAGGTGGTGGAGCTCCCACAGCAATAAATGCTGCCTAGTCAGCGATGCCCTCATCCCGTGAATGAATAAAAAAGAAATGTATCTGCTGTCCTTGTTCTTCTAGATTGAAGTGGTCGCAGGTTTGGAAAGTGCTGCTTAATAAGCCTGGGTAAACTTCTGCAGTGCATCTTGTGGATACTACACCTTGCTGCTACTGAGCGTCAGTGGTGGCGGAGTGATGTCTGTAGAAATTATGTCAATCAAGCGGGCTGCTTCATCCTGGATGTGTCAAGCTTCTTGAATGTAGTTGGAGCTGCACCCATGCACTCAACTGGGGAGAATTCCGTCACACTCCTGACGTGTGCCTTATAGATTGTGGACAGGCTTTGGGGAGGCAGGAGGCGAGTTACTCCCTACGGTATTCCTAGCTTCTGACCTGCTCTTATAGCCGCTGTATTTATATATATATTCCAATTCAGTTTCTGACCAGTGGTAACTCCCAGAATGTGGATAGTGGGGAATTCAGCAATGGTGATACAACTGAATGTCAAGGGGTGATGGTTTGACTGTCTTTTATTGGAGATGGTCATTGTCTGCTATTTGTGTGGTGTAAATGTTACTTGCCACTTGTCGGCCCAAGTCTGGATACTGTCCAGGTCTTGTTGCATTTGGATACGGACTGCTTCAGTATCTGAGGAGTTGCAAATGATGCTGAACATTGTGTAATCATCAATGAACATCCCCACTTCTGACCTTATGACGGAGGAAAGGTCATTGATGAAGCCGCTGAAGATGGTTGGGCTAGTACACTATTCTGAGGAGCTCCTGCAGAGACGTCCTGGAGCTAAGATGACTGAGCTCCAACAACCACAACCATCTTGCTACGTGCCAGGTATGAATTCAACCATCAGAATATTCATGATTCCCACTAACTCCAGTTTTGCTCCTTGATGCCACACTCAGTCAAATGCAGCTTTGATGTTCTGGAATTCAGCTCCTTTATCCATGTTTAGACCAAGGCTGTAATAAAGTTAAGACTGAGTGGGCCTGGTGGAACCCAAACTGGGCATCACTGAGCAGGTTATTGCTGAGCAGGTGTTGCTTGATAGCGCTGTTGATGACACCTTCCATCACTTTACTGATGACAGAGTAGACTGATGGGGCAGTAACTGGCCAGGTTGGATTTGTCCTGCTCTTCGCATACAGGACATATCTGGCCAATCTTCCACATTTTAGGGTAGATACCAGCATTGTAACTGTACTGGAACAACTTGGCTAGGGGAGCAGCAAGTCTGGAGCACAAATCATCTGCATTATTACTGGAATGCTGTCAGGACCCATAGCATTTGCAGCATCCACTGCTGCCATGCATTTTTTTGATATCACATGGAGTGAACTGAATTGGCTGTAGACATTTGTGGAGCTGCGGACCATTGGAGGAGGGCGTGATAGAGCGTTCACTTGGCACTTCTGGCTGAAGATTGCTGCGAATGCTTTCATGTGAGTAAATTTCTGCTTTAAACCCAAGGATTTAAATTCATTCAAAATATTAATCAGGAAAAAATATTAAAGGATATGGAATGTAACAGTCATATTGGACTTGAAACATTAACACTGTTTCTCTTTCCACAGATGCTGCCAGATCTGCTGGGTTTCTGCAACATTCTCTGTGTTTGTTAGAGGGTATTCATAACCATGGTGACATGGCTGCATTACCTGTAAATAGATCTGAGTGAGGTTGGATTCTCCAGTTTTTGACTCAATCTTAAATTCTTCGTAATACCTGTGAAAGAACCACAGACACTGAGTTATCTTTCGTCAAAATAGTTTTTGCATTGAATTCTCACAGTGGACACTGCACAGACCAGGAGAACATCCTTAGGTGTGGGAACTGAGGAGAAGTGAGTGAATGGTGAATTGAGATTTTGGATAGAGAACAGGATGAATGGGACAGCATGGAAGACCAAGGTGAAGAGGATGACAGGGTGAAATCAAAGTTGCAGTTACCGGCCTGATTATAAAAGTAGATTGCTTAGCTTCGTAAATTCATTGCAAATTAACATAACCCTATTTTCTATATCACTTTTGGTGATGTGAGAAGAGAGTTAAGGAGAAAGATCATGAGATATTTGATGGGATAAACATCTAAGCGAGAAATTATTAAAGGGTTTGACATCTTCTAAAGTAGATAAATTACCAGATCGAGATGACATATATTTCAGGTTGAGATAAATAGCAAGGCACGAAGGTGCAGAAACGCATATTTCAGTCCTGCCTGGTTATAGGAGTGGTGCTGGAGGATTGGAAGACTACCTTGTACTGTCATTTTAAAAGGGATGAGGGGATAATTTGCATATAGCATGCATTCCTTCATCAGAATTCATTGAATCATAGAATCCCTACAGTGTAGGGACAGGCCCTTCAGCCCAACAAGTCCACACCGAACCTCAGTGCTTCCCACCCAGACCAATCCCCCTATAACCCACCTAATCCACTCATCCCTGAACACTATGGACAATCTAGCATGGCCAATCCACCCAGCCTTCACATCTTTGGACTGTGGGAGGAAACCAGAGTACCTGGAGGAAACCCACGCAGACACGGGGAGAACGTGCAAACTCCATACAGACAGTCGCCCGAGGGTGGAATCAAACCCAGGACCCTGGCACTGTGAGGCAGCAGTGCTAATCATTGAGCCACTGTGCTGCCCCTTGGCCTAATGTCATTGATTGGTTTCTGGAAAATATGCAGAACAACTTTACACAGAACCAGAGATAGTAGGAACTGCAGATGCTGGAGAATCCGAGACAACAAGGTGCAGGGCTGGATGAACACAGCAGGCCAAGCAGCATCATAGGAGCAGAGAGGCTGACCCTTCATCAGAAAAGGGGGAGGGGAAGGGGGTTTTGAAATAAATAGGGAGAGAGTGGGAGGCGGATAGAAGAGGGATAGAGGAGAGGATAGGTGGAGAGGAAACAAACAGGTCGAAGAGGCGGGGATGGAGCCAGTAAAGGTGAGTGTAGGTAGGGAGTTAGGAAGGGGATAGGTCAGTCCAGGGAGGACGGACAGGTCAAGGGGGCGGGATGAGGTTGGTCGGTAGGAGATGGAGGTGCGGCTTGAGGTGGGAGGAGGGGATAGGTGGGAGGAAGAACAGGTTAGGGAGGCAGGGACGAGCTGGACTGGTTTTGGGATGCGGTAGGGGGAGGGGAGATTTTGAAACTTGTGAAATCCACATTGATACCATTGGGCTGCAGGGTTCCCAAGCCGAATATGAGTTGCTGTTCCTGCAACCTTCGGGTGGCATCGTTGTGGCACTGCAGGAGGCCCAGGATGGACATGTCGTCTGAGGAATGGGAGGGGGAGTTGAAATGGTTCGCAACTGGGAGGTGCAGTTGTTTATTGCGAACCGAGCGTAGGTGTTCTGCAAAGCGGTCCCCGAGTCTCCGCTTGGTTTCCCCGATGTAGAGGAAGCCACACCGGGTACAGCGGATGCAGTATACCACATTGGCAGATGTGCAGGTGAACATCTGCTTGATGTGGAAAGTCTTCTTGGGGCCTGGGATGGGGGTGAAGGAGGAGGTATGGGGGCAGGTGTAGCACTTCCCGCGGTTGCAGGGAAAAGTGCCGGGTGTGGTGGAGCTGGAGGGTGGTGTGGAGCGGACAAGGGAGTCACGGAGAGAGTTGTCCCTCCGGAAAGCAGATAAGGGTGGGGAGGGAAAGACGTCCAGTCCCTCTACACCTGCATTCCCCATGCAGATGGCCTTAAGGCCCTCCGCTTCTTCCTGTCCCGCAGGCCCGACCAGTCCCCCTCCACTGATACCCTCATCCGCTTAGCCGAACTCGTCCTCACACTCAACAACTTCTCTTTCAATTCCTCCCACTTCCTACAGACAAAGGGGGTAGCCATGGGTACCCGCATGGGCCCAAGCTACGCCTGCCTCTTTGTAGGTTACGTGGAACAATCCCTCTTCCGTACCTACACCGGCCCTAAACCCCACCTCTTCCTCCGTTACATTGATGACTGTATCGGCGCCGCCTCGTGCTCCCACGAGGAGCTCGAACAGTTCATACACTTCACTAACACCTTCCACCC